TTTCAATTTTGCATGCCAGAAAATCATGGTTCTCGCAATCCAATCGATATGTTGGCGGGTGGTTGCTCGACACCACGCACTTCCAGAAAGTTTCCCGAAGCACGTGTGTTACCCTCCACAGAATATAAAGTGCGCCAGGTACGAACATTAAAACAACCGTAAAGGATGTTGGAACCACGAAAATATAAATAGGCAATACGATACAAACAAATGGCTGATGAACAGCGAGCGGCAAAGGACCGATACGAGTTTTTGAGTTTGCTTTTACATCCTCTCTACGAAGCCTTTCCACCTACTTACTATCCTTTCCACATAGAAACTTTTTCGAATATTAGATGCTTCTACTAATAACAGTCACAGACTTTCAAAAAACCAGCCCGATACATTTTCCGAATTAAGGCTTCTGTGGCATGCACCTCATTTGAGTCGAATGGTCTGAAAAGCCTGTAAGGTCGATCAATAACGGTAACTTCATACGAACAATCATACCACAGTACCGCCCCCCCCCCGCCCTAAAGGCCGTAATAATAAATCTCATAGGATGCACAAACACAGGATCTCACGACAAACAGCGTTCGGAAATTGCCTAAGGAACGCCGTATCGTGCTGCGATGCGAAGGATATCCAAAGGATTAGAGACGATTGCATGGATTCAGAAGGATTAGAACGATTGGCATGGAGAAGTGTTTGCTAAGACCGGCCCGTTGATGCTGTCGATGCCATCATTTCCGCTGTTCTTGTAAATGTACTTCGTGTAAATCGGTTTCAAAGCGGCAACTCATCAAAAAATTATGCCCGCGTTTGTGGAGGAGAACTTTATAACATTGCAGCGCGAGTTTTTGCCTCTTACTAAGCTCGCATCTTATTGAAGCATTTTCTCAGAATGAAAATGTCGGCGAGACTCCCACGAAAATATAATTGAAGTTGGTAGAACAACACAGCTGTTTGCAGAACAACAATAGTTTTGCATTGTTCGTTCCCCTTGCCGAATCCCCGCACTTCATTCAGTAAATAAATGCCTGCTTCTTTGCATGTTCGATGAATGGTTTCAAATTTAATCCACTTTTATTATATGGGTTCTGATGCACAGTACAGCCTCTTTGTTGTGTGGTCAACCACTGGCCTGCTTGCTTCGCTGGTGCTTCTGCTGGTTTCGTTACGATACGAGGAATGATGACAAGCATAGTTTTTCTGAACGAATACAGTACAGCACGAGATCTAGTCACCCTATTCTACAAGAATAATACACACTCGCATTTACCTGAACTACTCTATGGATTCTACGATGCCGCAACGAAATCAGGGAGAAAAAGTTTGCGTAGGTGTACAGACATCTCGTTCCTAATTCTGAAGGCGAAATGAGTTTCCGCCATTCCGATGCAGTCGTGTTGTTAACCTAACGACTCTTATTTGATTTCGGAGGACAGAGACAAAACTATTGGACTGGGTTGACGGTGAACAGCCGTTCATATATCTCGTCTGCGTTTCGAGCGTTTTGGCGATAAGGAATGTTTAGCCTATCGAACCCTGGCGTTTTGAACCTTCTCGTCAGCCTAGCGTTTTGAGCGAAAAGTCTAGTGTAGGTGTCGAGTGCGGTGCTAATAAGGGACCGATCGATAATTTTAAACCTTCTTCTCCGTCCAAAACGGTTCAAAAGATGCTCGATGCGATAGCACCACACACATGATGTGCGCTGATCCAGCCGGCGAAATTTCGAACGTACTGTTTGCCGTGAGATGATAGTGTTCGGTGTGCATCAGATTTATTTACGGCTCCTCTGGGGGAACGGTGTCCATGTTCGTTCGTTGCCTACGGATTAGTTACCGTACTGTTTAGGGTCATATGTGACGGAAGATACGAACGGCTCGCATGATAAGATACAAACATTATAGAAGAAAACCGACGAAGAAGTTTGGTTGCCACACGAAAGTATACTGACCGCCGTGTTACCGGGTCGGGACTATAGACGTCCATCTGGCATGGACAATATTGTCCGGCCACCAACTAGTACACCTTTCAGACAAATTATGTTGACGTTTCCCCGAAAATTCTTCACCAGCATGTGTAATCTACGGCCTGGGGTTAGGTGCTGAACGGAAGGGACATTTTTATTCGGTTTATCAAACCATCGGTTAGCTGGTGGAGATTTTAACCCGACCACTTGATAGTAGTGCCTGGGGTGTGTAGTACCTTAGCAGGTGTTAAAATCATCGTTAATTTTTACCATGAAAAATCATCCATCATACTAATCATGTTTTCTTCGAAAAATCACATTTGCATTACAACAAATATGCACCGCACTGCTAGCTGACCGTAAGAGCTAGTTGTCAGGAACAAATGCTGTTTAAATTGATTTGAAAAAATAGGTTTGCAAAACGCCCAACCTAATTCGAAAAGATTATCAAAAGCACCGCAAAAGAAAACAGGGGAACCAATAGGTCTTGCAGTCAAACCGAAATGGTGTCAAGATTGTCATAATTAATAATTAATTCCTCCCATAGAATATACCACCTCGGGTAGAATATACCACTCAGAATATGCTGAGCAGTTGTAGCCACTCCACATGAGGGAGGACCGTTCTTGGAGGTGGATGGTCTAGATGAAAAGCACGCAGCATTCGCGAGTGCAGGAAAACCCTGCGACTTTCTGGCACGATCTCCTTATAATGGGTGCAACGTTTCTTCTATTGCTATCAAATACAGTAAACTATACCCTTGCACTTCTTCTTGAATTCCTCTGGTTTATGCAGATAAAGGGCTGCGGCGTCACCGTTCAGCGGATCGGTTGGATTTGGATAGGTGAGCAGCTGGGGGAGAAAGGACTCGAAAATATTTGCTAGATCATAAAGTGCTGTCCATGCCTGAAAACAAGACACCTATCGATCACTGAAACAAACCGCACTTTGCAAAGTAAGTACGTATCTTACCGCCACTATGCAAATAGCACAAATACTTGAAGGGATGCCGTGCTCTCACAGCCACATACCTGATTGATGACATCCAAGCAAACGGAGCCACTGGCTTCGTCAATGTTCGGATGGAAAATTTTATTCATAAAACCTATAGAAGGCGACTTGAACGGATACTTTTCTGGAAGCTCGACACGGACACGCCAGACGCCACCCTCGTATGCAGCTAAATATTCGTAAATATCGCGTTGGAAAATCTAACAATCCACTCTTTTTAGGCACTTTAACGTCCATGCTTGGAATATTGATGAATAGTCCGTTCCTAGTGAAACAACAAGAAAAGAAGGATAGCGACAAACTCACTCCCGGAAGGACCATAGAATTTGACATTGAATTCGTTGAGCCCACCAGTAATGTTGACTTCGTGCTTACTTTCGATACTGGAAGGAAAGAATGTCAGAACTCAGAAATCCAATAATAACTAAACGTGACCAAAAAAGGAAAGAAAAAGGAATGAGCAAACATGTGGCTCAACTCACACCTACTTAAATGATGTCTTTAGCGAGGTCTTATGGATCAGCTGAAGCACAAAGCAAGCGAATAATTTATGAATTGCATACAACCTACAGTTCACTACGACGGGAACTCCCGACTCTTGATGCTATTTTTCCAAAGGGACCCAAATCTATCAGCAAACAACGAGGTTGTATGTACGCGACATATAAAACATGCCATATGTGGTTCTCGGACCATCTGTCTTTTGAAAAAGAATTCTAACTCACAGCTTTATAACATCGGTATCCATGCGACGTTTTCCTGAGCTAGGCGATGACATTCCTACTCAATCCACACCTCTCAAAATGGCAGTAACACGTTTAAGGCGAACTATGACCTCCCAACTGCTACAACAGCATTAGTAAGTTTCTTTTATTCACAAATTGGAACCAGTTATTGCCTGAATCATATGTTGTTCTCCCTGTCCTGAATCTGAAGGACAGGAAAACACAACTCTGAAACGTAACCTGTAGCCGCGGTAAAATGAGCGGAAGAACCACAGAAACGTGCATATACTGTAGAATCAACACCAAGCATACGCACATCACTAGTAGGAGATCGAATGGTACGAAGAAAGTGACGAACTACGAAAACACGGGAAGGGGCACAGGGTGATGAACCTCGCTAGGAATCGACAAAGTGCGCACATCATGTGATCCGTCGTAGTGATGCTGGTGCACGGCCACGGTCAAGCCAACAAATGCGCTCCAGTGTGGAAGTGAGCGTCGGCCGCTGCTCTGTGCGCTTAAAGACAATCCACGATTGCACGATTGTGGAACTCGTTAGGTTGACGAGCACTACTGCGCGAATGGTTAAACCTATGGTACTGATCACTGGCAGAATATTTGTGGTGACCCCTAACACGTCGCCTTAGGCTGCGTTCATACCGTACGACGTAGTCGTCAACGTCGACGTGACCGACGTTTTCGACGTCAGTCGATACGTATCTAATCTGTCGTCGGTTACGTCGACAGCTGGATCGATACTATCCAGTCTGTAGTCGTCGAAAACGTCGGTTACGTCACTTACGTCGCTTACGTCGGATCGATACATATGTAATCTTCGCGAACTAGTCGTCGAAAACGTCGGTTGCGTCACTTACGTCGCTTACGTCGAATCGATACATATGTAATCCTCGCGAACTAGTCGTCGAAAACGTCGGTTAGTCGCTTTCGTCGGTCACGTCGACGTTGACGACCAGGGCACATCGTTGGTTGGGGAATCCCCAACAGGGGGGGGGGGTGTTGGTCGCCAGGAGAGGGGGAGGGCAGTAATGAGTGCGCTAGCCAGTAACGAGTGTCAGTGTGTTGAGCCCTGTACAGCGAAGCTTACTTTGTAGGGAACTCGGATATGTAAAAAAAACGTACAAAACTTTCATTCATCAAACTAATCTGAAATAATCGAATCTGGCGACGTCGACAGGGACACGCTCCATCATACGCAACGGAAAACACTGTAAACAAGTGCACAGGTTCGCTATGGACCTCCCTGAATGCTATAGGCACATTTACACGTGTGGACAGACATCGCGCTCAAACTGCACCATCCCATCACCTCTGCGCGGACCTCAATGCGCGGCGCATCCAAAGTTAGCATGATTGGCGCTAAACAAACCACATCCTGCTCCTGCTAAACCACAGGATACGTTTTTCATGCGTTCATGGTTATTCGAACACACTCACTTGAAACGGTCACAGGGAACGGGTTTTTCGCGCAGCTAGGAGTGTTTTCCAAATAATCCCCAACGCAATTATTTCATGACTCCCGGGGGCTTCAAAAAACGTTTGAGTAGTTTTTGGAAAGAGGAAATTTTCTGGAACTCGACAGTGGTTTCAGATTCCCAAACTATGTATTGAGGATCAAGGGGAATACCTTGATTCAAAGCTGTGAAACTCGCACTGCAAACTTTCCAAAAAAACTCCTCAAAAACTCCCCAACGCAAATTTTCTCTATGAATATGGCGACCTTTATGGACATGTCAGTATGTTTTGGAAAGCTCAAATCTTTCTCTATACGTCTGCGTTCTTTCCCACAGCTCCGCTATTAAGGAAGTTATTGGCCCTTTAAAGACACCCTACTTTCCTGAAAATCCGCGCTCCAATCAAACCACATGCAACCACCTTCGTCTGTGGGTCCTGCCCAGAATCGCTCCCCCGGTATCTCGGCCTTTAAAAGCTGATTTCGGCTGGTTTGCTCTCGTCCGTATTTACTCTTTCGTGTTTATCTTCTTCCCGGTTTAGCCGAATATCGAATATTTATCTTCTTCTCGGTTTACTCGAATACCGAATATTTATCTTCTTCTCAGTTTACTCGAATACGCGTCAGAGCGCGCCCCAGCAATTTTGCTTGGACCGCTCAGAGTGCTCTTAGGAGGAGTTGGCTTAATTTCCTGTTTTTCTTTTCTTTTAATTGCAACTGATTCAGGTACCAGAGTTTGTTTTGACTCGAGGAAAGGTGGGTGAAACCTAATGGCCTTCCTTTTCTATTCTCTTTTCTGAATCAGGATAGAAATGAACTTCATAAGTTTATGTATAGGGGGTTGTACCGAGCCCCCAAAAAAGGGGGGGAGGTCGTACGGGCTTCACCAAAATCCCCAACCAATGATGTTCCCTGTTGACGACACCGTCGCAAGATATGAACGCAGCTTTATTCCTATGCTTCAAAACACGGCCCACTTCATCATAATTCTCCTCTTTAGCGAATATTTGCCAGCATATAGTGCTTATCACAACACTCACCATTCGTTGAAAATGGGACGGCTTAGCGGTCGAAAGAATTTCAATGGTAACAATATCGAAATTATAGTGAAATGTTATCACATACTAGTACTCCCACTGAGCAGCTTTCACGTATCCGTCTACTAGTGACGCTTGTCATTCCTCACTGGCAAACTTAGGCTTTTACTTCTGGGTGGTACTCGATAGTTTAGCGGTCGGATCAATTCTGACTGCATCGTAGAACAGATGATTTCGAAGCTCTTGCATCAAATTCTTTATTGGTGAGCTTTCGGCGATAACGCCGTCACCAGACCTTCAAATTACAATACATTACCGGCCTACAGCTACAACATACATCAACATTAGCATTAAAACCTACCAAGGGTGGGAGGGGTGGAGGGGTGACTGCGTGCGGCGCGTGCGGTAATAAATGAGGAAGGAACTGCTCAGCAGCTCTAAGACACTAGGGTCCTCTAATGTCACATTTATCACGCAATTGAGTCTTAGGAGGTCACGTAAGCTCCTCCCTTGCGTTGATTTCCGGCTTAATGCGGTGGATTTCCCGCGCGTTCCATCGATTTTTCTCTCGAGCGGTCGTATCAGATGTCTGTGGAGAACACTCACATCGAAGGACGGTGGGTTCTCATCCTCTAAGAGTTTGAGAAGTTTAAGAGAAGTTTAAGAGTTCTACAATTATCCATGAAGCTCGGAGATAGCAGTATCCTACAATATCTGACTGCATCGTTAAGGGATAGGAACATCTCGGCTCACTAATTAGGGAAGGTCGTCAGGTTGAAGTGGCCCTTTGTAATGGGACTAGACGTGGTTTTGAACGCTGATCTCGAATCTGCCTCTGAAATTTGCAGAGCGATTCTCTGAAAGGAATTATGATGGCTTGTTAGAATTATGAGGGAAAATGGAGTCGAGCGCGGTTGCCAGCCTGAATAGCCGGGGAGAACCGTTACGTTTAACGGCGGCATGGTTTAGTGGTAATGGTCTTGCTTCGCGGACGTGCCATGGAGGGTTCGAATTGCTGAGAGGGAACTTCCTTTTTAATTTGTGGGGAATGTCCTTTTAAGTCTAGAAAACATTCAGACGCCAAATGGGTGCCATATTCGTGTTCAGGGAACCTTACTATGGAAAGTGCGGTAGCAGCTGATCGAATGATGGTCACCAATAGTTCCAGGGCCAGTCTCTTATCAGTTGCTTGTCTTTGGATGGAAGCTTTTAGATACCAGGAAAACTGGGGCAGTAACAGCATGGATGCGTAAGAAGTGGCAAGACGAGGCTTTGTGCAGGAGAATGTATCTGCAGCCGAATAGGTGTGAACATCACGTGAACTAACCCATGGATGCTTTACTTTTCGAAGTCAGGTCAAAATGGCAAATTTGGCTAGAAACCTCTACCTAGGCGTAGTTCGCCCCCCTAAAACGAATATGGCACTCGCTCAGCGCGAAAACTCCTGCACTGCGCGCCAAGGGTACATGTACTTCCTGAAATTCTCCTAGATCATGATGCACTAAGCATGTCAGTAAGCGCACGCAAACTGTTTTCCAGGCAAGTCAAGGAGAGCGCTAATTTAGAAGAGACGCCACAACCACTTTTTGCCACGTTTGCGCTGGAAGCAAAAAATTAAGCTCAGCAGGGGTCCGACACCATGACCTGTTGTGTGGTAAAAGCGGAGGGAAAAATCCTTAACTGTTCAGAGAATCGTTTTGCAAATTTCAAAGGCAGATTCGAGATCAGTGTCTAAAACCCGCAGTGGGCTACATCTCATTACAAATGGCCACTTCGACCTGACGACCTTCCCTAGTAAGGTTTGGCCCATTAATCCTTGGACCACGGTGGTCAATTTCAGTCGCAGGCAGAGTAAAGATGCAGCTCCCCGTTGTTGCTCCGATTCTTGCATTGAATTTTGAGGCCCTTGCTGAAGTGGCACCAACCAATAGTGTTCGTGCCCAACCTCCCAGACCACTTATCAATTTGAGCGCTCAATCGCTGTTTTGAAGGAAGTTATGGATTTCCGGTCAGACACAACAGACACACAAACATACATATACACACCAACAGACAATTAGCGGACTATATATAGTAGGATGCTTCAGTTAACAATCTGTGTCGCAAAGGAGTCTCCAGGGGGAAAAACAAGAAAATCGTCAGGAACATCCAGTGTAAGGATCCCTGGCAGCGAGTCAGAATACTTGTCAACCGCAAAGCCTCACTTTTTCCATTTTTCTTCCTCCTTCCTTCATTTGCTCCTCCTTTCCCTTCACTCTTCGAATGCTCGACGAATGGATGTGGTGGGAAAAATCTCTGGACCCTTCCAGCAGCAGAATGTCTAGTTGACAGAAGCCCTGTAACCCTTACTGATCGTTCCCTTGCGTCATCTTATGCCAAATACGATATCAGATCGTTTTAGAACAAAAATACAAAAAAAAGTGCAGAAACGAAGTGGTGACAGAAAAAAGACTTCTGTGTCGGTCTCGTGCAAGTATGGGGTTGCGGACACGATGTCCGACGAAGTTCACAGGAAGGGCGGCGGGGTTGCAATATTGTTGTCTAA